CAAAGTCCATAGCTTACATTAGGGTTCACTGTCCGTGTTGTACATTCTGTGGGTTTTAATAAATGTATAGACATGTATCCACCATTATAGTATTGTACAGAGTAGTTTCACTGCCCTAAAAATCCTGTGTTCCACTTGTTCAACTTACTCCCCTAACCCCTGATCTTTTGCTGTCTCCATTGTTTTGTGTTTTCCAGAATGTTATATAGTAGGAGTTATATAGGATGTAGCCTTTTCAGACTGGCTTCTCTCACTTAGTAATATGCATCTAAGGTTCCTCCTTGTCTTTTCATGGTAATGACTCATATTTTTCAGCACTGAATACTATTCCATTGTCTGGATGTACCATAGTTTATTCATTCATTCACCTACGGAGGGACATCTTGGTTGCTTCCAAGTTTTGGCAATTATGAATCAAGCTGCTATAAATATCCATGTGCAGATTTTTGTCTGAACATAAGTTTTCAACTCCTTTGGGTAAATACCAAGTAGTGTGACAGCTGGATCATACAGTAAAAGTATGTTCAGTTTTTTAAGAAACTTCTGCAACATGTTGCATTCCCACCAATAGTGAACGACAGACAGTTCCTGTTGCTCCACATTCTTGCCAACATTTGGTGTTGTTAGTGTTTTGGAATTGTGCCATTCTATTAGGTATGTAGTGGTACTGCAGTATTGTTTTATCTATTTTTTTTTAATTGCAGTAAAATACACATAATATAAAATTGGCATCATAATCATTTTTTAAGTGTACAATTCAGTAGTTTTAAGTACCTTCACGTTGTTGTGCAACCAATCTCCAGAACTCTTCTAATCTTGCAAAACTGAAACTCTATACACACAGCATTAGTTTGCTAGGGCTGCATAATAAAAATTCCACAGACTGGGTCGTTCAAACAACATAAATTTATTTTGTCACAGTTTTGGAAGCCTGAAGTCTAAGATCAAGGTGTTGGCGAGTTTGATTTCTTCTGAAGCCTCTCTCCTTGGCTTGCAGATGGTCTCCCACATTGTGTCCTCACATGGGCTCCCCTCTGTGCACAGGCATCCCTAGTGTCTGTGGGTCCAAATTTCCTCTTCTTACAAGGACACCAGTCAGATTGGCTTAGTGCTTACCCTGGTGGCCTCATTTTAACTTAATCATCTCTTTGAAGGCTCTATCTCCAAATATAATCACACTCTGACTACTGGGGGTTAAGACTTCAACATATGGATTTTGAGGGAACACAATTCAGCCCCAAATGCCAAAGAAGCAACAACTTCCCATTCCCTCCTCCCCCAGCAACCACTCCTCTACCTTCTGTCTCTATGAACTTGACTGCTCCAGTTACTTCATAAAGTGGAATCATACAGCATTTGTCTTTTTGTGACTAGCTTAATGTATTCAAGGTTCATCTATGTATGTATCAGAAATTCCTTCCTTTTTAAGGCTGCATAATCTTCCATTATATGTATATACCACATTTTGCTTATCTACTCATTTGTTCATGGACCCTTGGGTTGTGTCCACATTTTAGCTATTGTGAATAATGCTGCTATGAACATAGGTATACAAATAACTGTTCAAGACCCTGTTTTCAATTCTTTGGAGTATATACTCAGAAGTGAAATTGTCCTGAGAATTTTTAAGCATGCACTGAAGTTCTGGCTCTCCTACTCATATCTCTCTCCTTAGGATAATCCTTGCTTTATTCTGTGACATCACAATCTAAGACCTTAGATTATTTATTTCTTCCACAGTGTGTATTAATCAGCAAATCATAAATGGGTATGAGTCAGGGACCTGTGAGATAAGAAACACCATAAATATTTTATCATATTAATCCAGGTATCGTTCAGGCAATTGGTAACTTGAACAATTATAATAAACAAGATAAGGAATCTTGAGCATACTTTAAAAACTTGAAGTTGGCATCAAAATGGCAAATCTAGAAACTCAGTTATAAATTAATAGGAATTTTCAAAACAACACATATAGTCATGACTATCCTAACTTACTTAAATTTTTAGTTCTATAAAAATAGAACCCTAGTTTAATTTGTGAAGTAATATGAATTTGTCATCAATATCCTCATTTTAATGCAGAAGCTCAATACCTTCTCTTCTATCATGAGTAGAGGTATAAAAATAATCATGCATTTTTCTTTACAAGAAAGATTCCATGCCCTACACAGATGAAAAATTTAAGAAATTATTTTTTTTTAGGAATACTGAAAGTCAGTATAGCACAGAGAATAAGAAAATATGGTCTAGTTTCAAGTCATAGCTGTGACTTTCTACTGTGTGACATTGGGCAAGTTACTTAACCTATCATTTTCTCATCTGTGAAATGGGCATGGTAAGTCCAAATTTCAACTGTTAGGATGATAAAATTAGTTAATATATGTTAAATGCCTGGCACATACTAAGCTCTCAATAAATGTCAGCTACTAACAGCATAAATTGGCAAACCACATAACTGGAAAGGACCATGACATAACTTGTCATCTCACTAGAATAAAGAGAGAGTAACTACCCCACTCCCACTATTGTAACAAATTATTAGAATTTGTTTTGTTAAGCTATGTCCTCAATTAGTTAAATTACTAAGAAATGTATCACTAAGATACAGCATTATGTTCTTATTCTTCAGTAGTATATGTCACAAGTTAGAAAAGAAATAGCATCTAAGTGGTTTGGATATATTATGGATATCTAAGATATTTGGATGTGATGGCTGATATTTTTTATCTTCATGATATTCACAAAAATGATGTTTCATTAATTGCTTCTTAAAAAATATCAAGTGTATAATGCAAAAGTACCAATAACTTATGCTGAAATACACCACCCCCAAGTAAGAATATAAGGAAAAAATGTGATTTTATAATTTCAAATTAGAGAAACTTTATAATTGTCAGTGTTAATCCATCTTCAACATGTCAGAAAAAGTCTTTATGATCTTTTACTATGGTGTACAATAAGAAACATCATTGCAAAGATTTCAATATAAGATTTTTACAATATAAGATTTTACACATATATATATGTAAACATATGTAAATAAATGATATCTATCCATATTTATGTGAAAAAGAATGATACTCAAACTGTTCTCTACAACTAAAATGTCATTAATATAATGAGACCTAATGTCACTGCAGAAACCTTTGAACTTTTAAGAAAGGATGGATGAAACAATGTTGTTATGATATATTAAACTCCATTTCCCACTCATTGCCTCTGTGACTTCTGGACAGCAAAATGTGGCCACAGATGAAGCAGGAAGAAGCCAAAGAACTTAGGGGAAAGCAAGGGCAAAGTTCCACCATTCCAAGGCAAGTTGCAGAAGCCTTCACAGTCAGCCCTCAGAGTTCAGTTTCATCTGGAAAATCCCAAACTTTCCTGATTCCTTACTGAAGTCACAGGCTACAACTGAACTTCTAGATTTTGAATAGTAGTTTGCAAGCTATGCTTTGTAACATCCCTGGCTTTCACTGATGACCTCATGACTTCCTGTGAAATTCTTTAAACAGAATCCAATTTAGTTCACAACAATTTAAATACTATATATGCCATAAAGCACTTTCAGGGAGGGAGGTATGGAGGAAAGAGTGGGTGGGGGAAAAAAAACGAGAACAAGAATTTCCAAGGGTGTGGGAAAATTCCAGGAGTAACACTTCAAAAAGAAGAGAGTAGAAACTACTTCCGGAAATGCAAAATATGTGCATCGTGCCTCATTTGTATAAACTAGAACAATTCAGATATTTCAACAATCACATACTGAACACCCAGGGAAAGGAGACGGCATTCAGTGACATACCTCACCTCCTGCACTACACTGAGAGGAGGGCCCCTAGCAGAGGCCATCAAGTTGGCCTTTGTGAGTTCAGGTCAGGGAGAACTAGAAGATGCTCTCCTGCTCAGATGCTGCTTCTGTTACTTTAGGCACAGCCTTGATGACTGCAGTCACACTCTCAAGCTAGGAAAGGTGGTCCTGACCCTCCCCTAGGCGCTGGGACCAATCCTCTGCAGTGATTACTGACTCGTTAGTAATTTTTGTTTTTATTGCTTTACTTCTTACTTAAACTGCGTGTGCTGGCTGAATTTTAATTCAAGTGTGATCACAGCACTGTTCCTCAGCGCTGTGGAATCCTTCCAAGTCCTGCCTTGAACGGTTAAGTCATTTTGTTTAACGGAACAGCTTTTGATGCATGTTGCTGTTTGAAAATTCCAAACTGTAGTAAAAGACGAAGCACACGGTCTCGTGAAATAGGAGTTTACTGAGCGCTTCCATCTTTTGGGGTGAAAATTATAAAACACCCCCTTTTCGTGTGATGGCAAATCTCGCTTTTAGAAATTTATATCAGATACCAAATTAAGTCACAAGTCAAATATCCCTCTTAATCATCAGGATGATGAAAAGAAGTGCACAAGGAAGAGGTTTTTTAAATTACTATTATTGTTTTAACGGGGAGGGCTGAAGAGTTCACCTTTTTGTGTGTGTGTCATCCAGAAGAGGTGGCAAAATCGGATTTTGTTTGCTTGTTCGTTTTAAACAACCGAAACACGGTCTCAGCAAGAATCGCCTATTAAAACCATCAATTCCCAAGAGCAAAATCAATCCCAAGGGTGCCTCGGGGCAAAGCGCCCTGGTAACCCCTGAGGCTCTGCCACAGGTGGACGCGGAGCAACAAGGACACTCGGTCGCCCTCGGGTCCCTACGCCCAGAGCCTGAAGCCACGCGGGCGCGCCCGAGCTCCTGGGCTCTTTGTCGAGAGCCCGGCGCAGCGCCGGGCCCCATTGGTTAACGCGGTCGGTCCGGGCCATCCTGGTCCCGCGTCCCTCCCCCATCCCGGCGTCCAGGGCCTGGGCGCCGGCCACGTGGCCCCTGCTCGCGGGTTTCCCGGTCTCCGGGATGCGCGTCCACGCCGCGCCGCCCAACCCACGCGACAAGGGGGTGGTCTTCTCCCAGGACCGCGGGCTCGGAAGTCCGCCCCCTCCCCGCCTCCCGCACTCACCGCTTTGAGATCCAGGACGCCGTCCTTGGCCTCCTGAAGCAGCGACACGAACTTGGTGGTGAGCAGTCCCAGGCTCTTCTCGTGCCTGCTGCTGCCGCCCCCGCCGCCCCCGAGAGGCGGCGGCGGCGGCGGCGGGGGCTGCGCCTGGGACTGCTGCGGCTGCGGCCGCTGGCCCTGCCCCTGGCCCTGCGGCGCCGGCTGCCCGGAGCCCGCGGGCTCGGCCGCCGCCATCGCGTCCCCGCGCCGCGGTGGTGCGGCCCCCGCGCTCGGCCACCTGCCGGGTCGGCTCCGCGGCGGCCGCTGCCGTCGCCGCCCGCCGAGGGCGGGACGAAGGGTCGCGGGCTCCTGCAAACAACAGGTGCGCTGCGCCCACCCGCCCGGGGGCCGCTCGGCGCGCCGGGCCTCCGCCCCCTCCCCGAGCCTGGGGACGCGAGAAGGAAGCCCACGATCGAGGGGAGGGGGAGTGGAAGCGAGAAGAAGGGGCGGCTAGGGGTGGGGACCCGAGTTTAAATGGCAGGAAGTGACGCCGCGGCCCGCCGTTGCTTGGAAACGCATTTTTCTGTAGGAAGGAGGGGCGAGCGGAGAGGAGGGCAGCGTCGGTGACTGGGTTTCACACTTGCCTCCCTGCTGTTGGCGAGCCGACCCCGGGAGCGGCGACCTCCCGCAGCAACGCCGGGAGGAAACAAGGGCTTCAGGGCAGGAAAAAACCCTGCCGTGTGGCCATCAATTTCTGAGCCGCTGGGTCCGTGGAGCCACACGAGATTAGCCTTCGGTCACTTACCTTGATTGGGCGGTTTCTGCTGTCTGCTCTTTTCGAGCTTTAGGATCCTTTGCAAATATTTCAGTGACTCGGACCAAATGCAGGGTTATATTCCATAGATTATCTTTTTGGATTTGAAATACAGGAAAAACAGAATCATGGAATCATAGGTAGAGATACTGGGGTGTGGAGGGAGAGGTCCTGAATTGCTCAGACTCGCCGCTGGACTCCAGATCTCCTGCATTTAGAACAGTGTTCGTAATACCTTACTGGAACCAAATTATATTGTGTTATTTAGAATATTAGGCACCCGCAGGTTCTTGTGTTTCGTGATACCCCAAACTATTGATGGGAAATGGGATAACACACAGATCTGGGTAAAAGTTTTTTCTCATTTGATTACAAACTCTCGAGAGTCAGAACTAAATTTTAAATGAGTTGGTGTCACACACAACACTTTGGATATAGTAGATGCTCAATAAATATTAGGTGAATGAAAATTCCATATGATGGTAATTAATCAAGAAAGTTTCATGCAAGAAATATTTTAAATTTAAAATAACAATAAACTAGCAAAAAAGGGTCACTGGAATGAAGTGAAATAGCAGCATTAGCTAGTAAAACCGGGCACACCATTTATAACAAAATATTTATGCTTCCAATTCATAGGTACAGAACTTCATTAATAACCAGACAACCTTTATTTAATCAAAGAACTCTATAAGCAAAACTTGAAATTAAAAACCTTTAGTAGGGCTTCCCTGGTGCGCAGTGGTTGAGAGTCCGCCTGCCGATGCAGGGCACACGGGTTCGTGCCCCGGTCCGGGAAAATCCCTCATGCCGCGGGGCTGGGCCCGTGAGCCATGGCCACTGAGCCTGCGCGTCCGGAGCCTGTGCCCCGCAACGGGAGAGGCCACAACAGTGAGAAGCCCGCGTACCGCAAACTAAAAAAAAAAAAACTTTAGTAAAACATGAAAAATTCAATTAATAAAACCACTCAATTTAAGTTATCTCAAAATGGGTTCTGCTATGTGATTTGGCATTAGCAAAATTATTATTTTACAAATTAAATTAATTTGCAAATTAGTTTTAATTTATTATTAATAAATTAATAGAATTAATAAATACAATAGTGTTTCTTAAGGAGGTTTTAGTTTTAATTTGAAGTGGTAACATTGTGCTATAGATGCAGGGACAGGAATTGATAAAAATAAAGTTGTTATTTTAAAAAACTTTTTTATATGTGTCTTAGCTTGGTCTGCCATAACAAAAATACCATAGACAAGATGACTTAAACAACAGAAATTTATTTTCTCACAGTTCTGGAGTCTGGAAGTTCAGATGCCAGCATGGTCAGGTTCTGGTGAGGCCTCTCTTCCTGGCTTGTAGACAGCTACCTTCTCTCTGTGTCCTCACATAGCAGAGAGAGAGAGAGCAAACAAGTTCTCTGATGTCTTTTCTTATAAGGGCACTAATCCCATCATGAGGGCCCCACTCTGTGACCTCGTCTAAACCTATACCTCTCGAAGGCTCTCTCTCCAAATGTGGTTAAGGCTTTAACATATGAATTTGGGGGAGACATAATTCGTTCCATAGCATGTAGTATTAAATCATAATAACTATTTTGGTAATTTTTTAATTGTTCTTTTTAATTTCAGTTTTTAAAGTTTTTCTACAACGCAGTTATTATTAATGATGCTAATAGGTCATTTGAAATTTATTTTGCAATATTTTTGTGTTTTTCACAATGAATTTTTCATTTGTTTAAACTCAGTAGGATTCAACTAAAACACATTCACAAGTTAGCAGCTATTTCAATTAGCCTTCAAAATCCTATGTCTGTCAGAGAAACTACAAATTACTTACACCAGTGGCTTCCGAACTTTAAGGAGAAAAATCATCTATGGTGTTTGTTAAAAATGTGATTCTTTTTTCCAAATTTCAGAGATTAAATCAGCATTTGATATGAGAATTTGACCTGGGAATCTGCATTTCTTCACAGATAGTTTCAGGTAATTCTCATGCACACAGTCACCCCTTTGAGAAACACTGAATAACACAATGAAAAATAATAAAATATATCATTTTTCCTAAAACTGCTAAAGATCAGAGCCTGATAATGCAAAAGTCTTTTTAATATTTTGAAACTTTTTGGAATTTCTGCTAATGAATTATTTTAAAATGTGATTTTTAAAAATCAGAATATAAATAATCTTTAAGAAACTGATATTGGTCACTGTTTGAAGTATATTACTCTGAATTTGATTTCTGTATCCTTTTGGCTATAAAGGAGACAACTCTAAATGGCTATCAATTGCTACACTAGTTCTTTGTACCAATTCTGACAAAAGCCTAATAATTCTTTCCATCAAAAGTTAGGACTCATAGCATATTCTCAAGAAGTAGGTAAGATTTTTGTGCACTAGAATAATCCACTTAAACTAAACCGTATTGCATTGACCTATGTAGTACTAAATGCATGACGGTAATCCTTTGTTAAATTCAGACTAATTACACCAGATTAACTGGGCAAATATTATGATCTATTATAATATTGTTTATATGCTCCTGATTATATTTTCATTATTTTTATGCATTTTGGAAGTGCAGCTGCTTAGCCAATTCAGGAGTAGGAGGGAGAACTTCAGTGTTTTGAATTCGACGGAATGACTTATTAGCCCATAGTTCACTGGACTGAGTGTCACATTTGTGGAATTTCACATATGTTATTTTTATAGAAGTCCAGGATCAGTTTAATATATGTGCAGTTGTGTCATAATATAGTAGTTAACTATTCAAGAAAATTCAACCAAATTTTATTTTGTTTACTGATGGTGGCGTACTGATTTTCAAATGCATGAGCCTATCAGTTGGAAGTGATAGGTTGGAACTTCCAACTCTCAGGTCTCCTTTGAGCTAAGAAACTTCATCAAAAGGCTGCTTACATCAGCTTTATTACTCCCTTGTTTAATCTGTTCTAAGTTAATGAAGATAAAATTTGGCTTTCTGTTTTTCCTTCCAAATCTTACAACACACAAACATCTATCTTATGCATTTTCAAGATTAAAAAAATTAGGTAAACACATATGTTTCAAGGATTATTAATCGTCACATTATGACAAACAACATTATTTTTTACCTACCTATAACCTGCATGGTATAGTAATAATATGATAGATAACCCAAAGACCTTGACTTCAGAAGTGTGTACCCTGTAAGCAGAAACGGGAAATGAAGATTACATTCAAACACCTATAGAAATATAATTCACACACATTAAAGAGATTTTAAATTTTATTTAGTGACTTATACTCTACCTTATTGCCCTATCAAGGCAGCTTACCGAAAGAGGGAAGCTTACATTCAGAAGGCAGCTTACATTAAAAAATATGGCATGATATTAAAAGAAACAAATAGTTGCTTCTAAATCTTCTTGAAGAGTCAGACTGAAAATTCGAATTCTCATCTTCATTAAGTTAAAACTTACGATTTGATGTTGGGGTTTGAACTTCAACCACACATATTCAAATGTAAGAACAAGAGATCCAAGTTTGTTGTAACAAAAATAAACTCAACTAATATACACTAGAAGCTTCTATTTACTAACACCTGAACAGTCCTCTGACTGCTCTTGTGTATAAAAAGGGAAGGTAAATATGGTCAAACATTTACAGAAACTGTATGTCACTTAGACCTTCCTGAAAAATCAAGTTGCTCAGCAACTCTCCCACTGGAAACACTGTTGATAACACTGTTTTTTTGAAATTTCAGTAAGGTAAAAGTGTTTATCACTAAACTACCAAAGCAAGATGACTGCCGTGCAAATAATAAGCCATAGCATAAAGACCTCCTATTCACAATACATTGCCCTAATTAAGACACAAACTTAAAAATCATACGCTCTGATACAAACCCTTTGGTAACTAATACCCTGTGTCAACCTAGAGTTGACAATTTTTGAATTTATCACCGAGAGAGTAATTCTAAGTCAAAAGTGGTTTTATCAAAAGAATTTCTCACCAGTGAATGGTCCCCACATCATTCAATTCCTTGTGTAGTGTCACATCTATTCCCTAGAATGAAAAAATAAAGCACTCTAAAATAAATCCCTCAAGATAATGATTATAGGTACCCTAGAATTATCTAATGTTAATAAATGTACCATCCTATCTTGCTCTACTGTAATTGACTATTTTATTTATAAAAATACCTATTTATTTAATTATATGTGTGCCATTTATAAAAATTAAGGAATTTATTCAGCAAAAATTAAATTCAGACTCTCAGTGGATATCTCCCAACTAAGTCATGTTAGCCATACACATTACAAAATGAAATAATACATGCTTTTAGAATCTCTGAAAAAAAAATGTTTTGTAAACTGGAAAAAAAAACTACCTTTGGTATCTTTCCTCAGTCAGTAGATCATCCAACAATCTATCTGTCTTTTGTAATTGTGTGATATGCATACTACTAGTGTTAACAGAATGACTGTAGCTGATACATGGTAAATCTTTTGTTATTTTAATACTTTCATGATTAATTTAATGTGGATTAGGCAAAAATTAAAAATAAACATGACCAAAACATTAAACTAGTGATTTCATTTATGTTATTTAAGTTGTGGCTAAAAGAGATATTTAATTTTTAAAAGTAAGTCCATTTTTGGAAAACTGATAAGAAACTAATAGTTTGGGTAGTGTGAAACCCCAAAATCATGAAGGTGAAATTAACGATGTTATGCCAATTT